CGTGCCTCTGTGTTCCTAGCATGTAGGAGCCACTTAGCCTGTGACATCAGTCTACGACGTGCCATTCGATACAGCAACTGCAACTGCGAGAATTGGATGCGGTAATTCCACAGTCCACACCCGAACCGGTCTGTAAGGATGACCACCAACCATCAGCTGCCCCCCAACTTAAAATCTCATGCAACCCAAACACTGGCGGACCTGTTTTGTCATTCTACAGTAGTCTGGACCATTGAGAACCCTGTGAAGTCTGTCATTCCTGTGCTCTGTTCTTCGCCATTCCACTCCCCTCCTCCACACATATCTCTCTTCCGCCTCCCGCTTCCTATAAAACTCCACCTCCTACCCATTTCCCTCCTCCCTCCCCTTGTGTACAAGCAATAAATGCATACAGATGAACATCACTCAACAGAAAATATAAGATGAAGATCTGAAGAAAAATGTACAAGAGTATACCCCCATTTACTCTGCCTCCTGTCATAAAATGCAAGTGTGCCGTTAAGGCACACGGGGATGCGGGCACCTGGCACTCAAACCACAATCAACAGCGGCATAGTAAAAGGGAAGCTGCAAGAACAATAAACAGAAAACTAAAGATAAGATATGTAGAAAGGAATATAATGGCGACAACGACTCTCTGGACTTTGCAGTCATGAGGCGGACTGGAGACCATCAGACTGAGAGACTGCCAGGAAGCCCCCCGCGCGCCCCGCCCTCCCTGAGACCCTCCTGCTGCGTGATTGGGTGCTGCCAGCAAGCTTCCCGGCCAGCAGCAGTACCCCCGAGAGAGTCCATGGTTTTGGGTGTGGGATGGTCCATAGCAGTCCCCCCCTTGAACAGGGGACTAGTACCGCCAGGGTAAGACTGACCCCCTTTCTCTATACCTCTCCTTGTACTCATGCTTGCCGGTGATAAGCAACCGAACTGACGCCCCCCAGAATAGAAGGGGATTTGTTCTTTGTAATTTATTTTCTACACGCTAAACAGTAAGGCGGTTCTCACATAACGCCCCCGCGATGCCCGACTTACAGTGTTGCGAAAGCGCTCAGGACACAGGAGCACAGGCCTGGCAGAAACCGACATCGCGCCGTGGTGTTTTTGAGTGTGGCATGGTGTGGCGTCACGTGTTCGAATACAAGCACACAGTACGGCGTTTGTCGGGTGTTCAGTGCACCAGGTTCTTTTTTTTTGTCCTGTCCTTTTCTGAAAGTTGCTTGAACGACGCTGTTTTTTTTTTTGGCATTTCTGTGGCCCGTGGCAATGTATCTTTCCGTGTTCTAGCGGTCGATTCTCATTTTGCACATTTCGAGAGTAGTGCAGCGACGCCCTGTGGCGCCCGTTTGAACCACGCAGGGCGCCGTTTCATTTACTGATTTCGTTTTTTTGCCCTGCGGGCGTCGCTGCACTACTCTCCACATGCGCAGAAGACAAAAAAAATGGCAATGTATCTTTTGATCTTCTAGGGGTGGTGGATTCAGTCTCAGTTTGCACATTTGAGAGTAGCGCAGCAACGCCCTGTGGCGCCCATCCGAACCGTGGCGCCCATCCGAACCTGTGGGTCCTACGGGCCTAGCTGCACTGCTCTCCACATGTGCAAAAGACAAAAAAGATGGCAATGTTGAATGTATCTTTCCATGTTCTAGCGGTGGATTCAGTCTCATTTTCATTTTCCACATTTGGAGAGTAGCGCAGCAACGCCCTGTGGCGCCCATCCGAACCTGTGTGGCCTACAGGCCTCGCTGCACTGCTCTCCACATCCGCAAAAGACAAAAAAGATGGCAATGCATCTTTCCATGTTCCAGCAGTGGATTCAGTCTCATTTTGCACATTCCGAGAGTAGTGCAGTGACGCCCTGTGGTGCCCATTCAGGCCGCACAGGGTGCCATTTCATTTGCTGATTTTTTTATTTTTATTTTTTTCGGGTTTGACTGGGTTAACGTAGGTTAGGTCCAATAGGCCACTGAAGCGTCGTAGGTCCGAGTCAGGAAACATCCGGAGAGCTAGGTTGAGGTTGAGGGCCCGCTACCCGACAGAAAAGTCTGAAGGGCCGAGTCTGTACAGCCTGTCCGGTACACCACAGAAAAGTCCAGAAGTCCAGTCCCCAAGTCCACAAAAAATTGCAGCAAGCCCCAGGAAAGTCCGCAAAGCTTCCGGACCGAAAAAATGATTCCAACAGACAGGCTGTGACCGGTACTGGTCTGAGGCAGGCCAAGCCAAGTCCAATGCCTATGTTTAGCAGCTACAGTGCAGCAGTAGACACAGTTGTTCATTCGTGAAGTTGAGGAAGCGCTGCTGCTGCTTGCGTGACAAAGCGACTTGGGCAAGACAACTCTCGAAGAAAAAAGGGAGCATCAATGACAGCCATAGCTAGGGTAGTGATAGAGAAGCAGGGCAGCCATAGCCGCCAAAGTCCGAGCCTGAACTGAGCAGGTGTATTCAGGGAGCAATCGAAAGCAGAGAGAGAGAGAGAGAGAGAGAGAGAGAGAGAGAGAGAGAGAGAGAGAGAGAGAGAGAGAGAGAGAGAGAGAGAGAGAGAGAGAGAGANAGAGAGAGAGAGAGAGAGAGAGAGAGAGAGAGAGAGAGAGAGAGAGAGAGAGAGAGAGAGAGAGAGAGAGAGAGAGAGAGAGAGAGAGACTGAGGCTGAGAGATACAACACAGGAGAGAACATTAGAGGGGGAGAGAGAGAGAGCGTGAGGAAGGGGTAGTCGGTCACCTACGTGAATCAAATCTGGTATGGTGCGAGCGGCAGGGACCGCAGGTGACATGTACAGTTTTTTTGTCTCAACCTCCCGTGTGATTTTGTCTCGGCTATCAGTTCCTAGTGTGAACGCTCATCTGGATGCTCGTTGCATGTGTGTGTGCGAGGTTGAGGGTGATGGACTTGCAAATCATTGCATCTAACTTATCTATCTCATGTATATATCTATCTATCTATCTGTCTACCTNGGTTGAGGGTGATGGACTTGCAAATCATTGCATCTAACTTATCTATCTCATGTATATATCTATCTATCTATCTGTCTACCTGCCTGCATGTCTGCATGCCTACCTGGCATACCTACATACCTACGTGCTTACCAACCTACCTACCTACCTACCTACCTACCTGCCTACCTATCTATGTACTGACCTACTCATCTACCTGCCTGCGTGCCTGTCTGCCTGCCTTCCTATCTATCTGCCTGCTTCCTATCTATCTGCCTACCTCCCTATCTATCTGCCTACATGCCTGCCTTCCAACCTGCTTGCCTGCCTGCCTATCTACCTGCTTTCCAGCCTGCCTACCCGCATACCTGCCTGGCTGCCTTCCAGCCTACCTGCCTACCCACTAGATGCCTAACCGCCTACCTGCCTGCCTGGCTACCTGCCTACCCGCCTACCTACCCACCTACCCACCCATCTCTCTCTCTCTCTCTCTCTCTCTCTCTCTCTCTCTCTCTCTCTCTCTCTCTCTCTCTCAACTGTCTAAGGGCCTACTGGAGAAGGAAAGAATTATATAAGCTGTCTTTAGACGATCTGCTTGTCCTACTGGCTAAAGTTGGTTCCATCACGGGCAAGAAACAACGTGGAACTATAAAGGGAATAGGGAATATTTGCTAGGATATCGAAAAGAAAGTTTGCATTAAATATCAAACGAAGATTAATATTCAAAATTCCAGGCAAGGCTCTCCAGAACACGTACCAACCAACAAAAATACAAATCGATCTCCAAACTCGGAAGTTGAACCGGTACAACACTCGGATATTTGTAAAAAAGGCATTGCAAACGAGGACAAAAGCAAAATCCAAATTCCGAAATCAAAATTTCGTAAGAATAATAATAAAAATTCACGAACGAGGACAAAGGAAGGAATTAAAAGACATGTGAAAGCACTACCAGGGTACTTCAGGAGATATAAAGACGCACTTTCCAAATTCCGAAATCCAAATTCTGTAATAAGAATAAAATTCACATACGAGAACAAAAGATGAAATTGAAGGGCACCTGAAAACGTTACCGGGGTACTTCATGGGATATGAAAACGCAGAACATTTTTGGAAATGATTTTTTTGGCGCATCACAACCAGAAGATCATTAAGATATCAGCAGCAACGACGATGATACTCCGAGTGACATAAAGACGCAGTGGATATTTTTGGAGAAGGAGAGTTTTTCGACATATCGCAACTACAGAAACATCTGGACAGGGGGAATTCATCAACGTGACGATGACATGATGATGAGAGGAGACTGCAGGGACTAGGGTTCAGCTGGATGGGGAAGTCTTTGGACCAAAGGGTATATATATTGGTAATAATTGTGAAAGGATTACCCGAGCAGAGAGGTAGACGGGTGATCGCGACTGGTTTGGTTGCATGCCATGGACAGGACGTGTATTCTATGAAAGTAAAGCCTTGCACGTGTTGTCCAATGTTGCAAGTGTGCATCTCTCTCTCTCTCTCTCTCTCTCTCTCTCTCTCTCTCTCTCACACACACACACACACACACACGCACACACGCACATGCACACGCACATAAATACTACGGTCTGTGCACCTGTGCCATCACTGTAAGTCTATGACTCTGCATCCGAATTTCCAATGGCAGGAGACTCTGCACTGGGTGTCACTGTACAACTGTGTTTGCAACACTTCCAGCTCTCCCCTTGCCCCCCGTCTGCTGGCCAGTTTCAGACACAGAAACTGGATCCAATAGTGTGCAGGTCTGGCAAAGTGGAAACCAGACCCTTCTTATGTCCAGGTGGATCCAATGGACAGGGCCATGACTCCTTGGCACTTTCTAAAGAAACGTCCTCCATGTATTTGACCACAGTTAGATCCAAATGAAGGGGCCCTGATTTACCCCCCCCCCCCCCTTGTGAACTTAGGTTGCTTTCTTCATGACTCCAGAATGTCAGAACAACGGCAGCTCCGCAGTCCCCACTCTGCCATCAAAACACTTGATCATTCCCATTAAACCGAGAAGTAGGGAAAAAGAGGAAAAACAGAAGACATATACATATTTGTGATTGCACACCCTACCTCGCTATTACATAAAACCAGCGGACAATCCAGTACACACACACACACACACACACACACACCAAATACACAAACACGCACACACACAGACGCGCATGCACAGAGAAGCACACGCATAGTCTTCAATCAAATATACCCTCATCAGTTTCATGTATCACAGCCGCTTTTTATGGGAGTGTCCCTGCAAAGCAATGCCACCCAACTTCTCTCTTCTTGTTTTGATACCAGCTAACATGGAATTAGACCAAATTCACCTAACCTGCTCTCTCTCTCTCTCTCTCTCTCTCTCTCTCTCTCTCTGTGTGTCTGTCTATCTGTGTCTGTGTGAGTAAGTGTGTGTGCGCGGGCACATAATCAATTACCAAGAGAATTTATCAATGCTTATCCACAAATTTTGTCAAAAACTCACGACCTAGAATAACCACCAAAGCTAAGTGCTGCGATCAGACTCCATATGTGGCTCAGACCCCTTCAATCAGTCCAGAACAAGAATAGACAGACGATTCCCAGACGACTTCATCAGTGGTCCAGAAACGAGCACCGTCTGATGCAGACTGCAGGGGTTAACAAATTCTCTCTGCCCATTACCGCCTATAGCTTGTCTGCGGCTGGATGTAGCATCCAAACCTGAGCCAGAGGTAAACAAAATGAAATCATGTCATCTCCACACAGCCTAGAACGGCAGGAAGCGCTCCTCTCTTGAAGCCGCTTCGTCATTGCCATCCTCCAACATTATTTGCAGCCTCTCCTGCTGCACCGTTGCAAGAACAACGTACTCCACGGTTGAGAACGTGACGACTCAGAATGACAACTGACACTCTATGGATGACGTTCCTGTTCCCGGAAACATGTCTACTACTGGCAAGGACTTACAACAGCTCCTCGCCAGCTGCTGGCACGAAGCTCTCGAAGAGAGGTACCGACCCAGCTGATTTGATCCAGCAAGTAGAAGACCTAGAAAAACAGGAGAAGGTTTTCCAGGTGTGGACTCGAACTCAGGATGCTGCACCATTGCAAGAACAATGTACTCCACGAGGAGAACCTGAAGACTCAGGATGACAATTGGCACCTCCTGTTCCCGGCAACATGTCTACCACTGGCAAGGGCTTACAACAACTAGTTGCCAGTTGCTGGGACGAAGCTCTCGAAGAGAGGTATGCCTCCAGCTGATGTGATGCAGCAAGTACAAGACCTAGAAACACAGCAGAAGGTTTTCCAGGTCTGGACTTGAACTCAGGATGGAACTGTGTGGCGACGTAGTAGGGATGATCTGCAAGCTCCATAATCTCCATTCGCCTGCCAGATTCGTCCCGACCAACGAACTTAAGCCCGGCCTCCTCCAGCTGGGCAACCATTTCTGGGTTCACCTCATATCTGTGTCTGTGTCTCTCATTGATGCAGTGCTCTTCTCCATACAGCTTAGCAGTTGTGCATTCTGCTGTCTGGAAGATGGTGCTCCTTGCTCCTAATCGCATTGTCCCACCAAGATGGGTTTTCGAGACCTCAGGCATGAACACAACACATGGACAGGGTGTTGCTTGGTCAAATTCCGTGCTGTTTGCTTGACTCAGTTTCAGTACCGAGCGCGCAAATTCGATAACAGCGATCTGCAATCCGAGGCATATGCCAAGGAAAGGAACCCTGTGTTCTCTGGCATACTGGGCAGCCAGGATCTTCCCGAGCACGCCTCGATCTCCAAATCCACCGGGGACAAGAACCCCGTCTGCTCCCTTCAGTGCCTCCCATGCCTTCTTGTAGGCTTCAGGTTTCTCCACGTGAGAGTTCGGCTCCAGATCTGTGGCTGCGACCCACTCCAAGATGAGTTTCCTCGAAGAGTCGATGCACGCATGCTGTAATGCCTTGAGCACAGACAGATATGAATCTGCCAATCCGGTATACTTCCCAACCATCGCGATCCTCACAGGAGTAACAAGGCCGTCCCATTTGTGTGTTCTTACAGACCATTCATCAAGATTCGGCGATGATGGATGTCCAAGCTTGAAGTGATCGAGTATCGCCTTGTGAGCACCTTGTTCTCTGAGCAGAAGAGGTATGTGCCAAATATTAGTGACATCGTAGACGTTCAAGATATTCTCTGCCTGCACATGGCAGAACTGAGAGAGCTTCTGCCTGGTCACCATCTCCAAGGGATGAGCGCTTCGACAAGCAAGAAGTTGAGGTGTGAGTCCCAAAGCACGAAGCTCCCGCACACTGTGCTGCGTCGGCTTGGTTTTCTGTTCGCCAACCACTCCAAGAACAGGCACCAGGCTGACATGTATCAGGCAAAAGTTCTCTGCTCCCACTCGAAATTGAAATTGCCGCAAAGCTTCGATGAATGGCATGGACTCGATATCTCCGACCGTGCCTCCCATTTCGATCACACACACATCCGGACTCCCTTCCAACCCATCCACTCCCACATGAGCCACCCTCTCAATCCAGTTTTGAATTTCGTCTGTGATGTGAGGAACCACCTGAACCGTTTTCCCTAGGTAATCACCACGCCTCTCTTTCTCTATTACAGACTGGTAGATTTTACCGGTTGTCAAGTTGTTATCTCTGTTCAGAGTGACGTCTAAGAAACGCTCATAATTACCCAAATCCAAATCCACCTCCCCACCATCATCAAGAACAAACACCTCCCCATGTTCAAAAGGCGACATAGTACCCGCATCCGTATTGATATATGGGTCGATCTTGATGGAGGTTACTCGCAGGCCGCAAGCCTTCAGAACCACCCCGATGCTGCTGGCGGTGACCCCTTTTCCAAGGCCGCTGACAACGCCGCCAGATACGATAATGTACTTCATCTGCACTGCTGTCTGGACAAGATCAATCAAAACTCCAGAACCCAACAACGACAGGTTCTGAGTGCTGCCAGCAGCACCTCGACAAATTTCCTCGCGTGTGCTAGGTCAGTTATGATTGATTACTCCAGCATCTTTACCCACGTCAAGAGGCTGAGAGTCTCTAGATCCTCTTACTCACGGTTTGCCGCGTTGCCACTTGAGTGACCGCAATCAAATTCCCAAGGACGGCATAGTCAAGCATGATAACAACAGTGATCGGAACAGACGTGCGAGCCGGAGAGATGGCCGCACGTCCACTGACAGAGTAGAGAGAGAGCGAGAGACAGAGCGAGAGAGAGAGCGAGAGAGCGAGAGAGCGAGAGAGCGAGAGAGAGAGAGAGAGAGAGAGAGACTCACACGAAGGGTGGGCACCGCTACACCTATCCAGCTTGACTCTAGCTTGGCTAATCTTACACAGCTCGAATTCACAGCCGATAAGTGCAGAAACGCTCACAGTTGTCTTTGGTGCCACTTGTCGTCATGCCAGAGTCGCCATCCTGGGGAAAACAGACCAGGTAGGCAACATAGTGGAGGTAAGAGAAGAGGAGGAAGTAAGAGAAGAGGAGGTCCTGACTATCTGAAACAGAAATAATACCCTTGCAAGATTTGCTCCGGATCCGGAGAAATGCTGAAAAAAAGGAAGTAAGTGTAGCCAGCACTGGCAGTTTTCAAGGAAGCTCCAATCAAGGGGCATAACAGCGAAAAAAAAAAAAGAAGGGAGCATAACAGAGGATATCAGGCTTGCCTAAAGCTTGACTTTTACTACCCAGCTCAGATAGACACCCAAGAAGTGCAGAAACGCTACCTCAAAGCTACCTGCAGATGATGGTGAATCGTCGCCCCAAGAACAAAAGGAGAGAGCTCTTTCGCACGGAGCTGTTCACCGCTCCTCCGACGGAAAAAGAAAAGGGTTTTGACTCTTGGCGGCTTCCAGCATCGATCCACATCAGCGTGCTGCTCATGCCTCCCCGCGGCTCTCTCTCTCTCTCTCTCTCTCTCTCTCTCTCTCTCTCTCTCTCTCTCTGTGTGGGAACCACAGCACCAACGCAGTCACAACGACACTCACGCAAGGACATGCACACCAGCACGGACACGCCCACGCCGACGCCCACGCCCACGCACGCCCACACGCACGCACGAGCGCACGCCTACACGCACGCACACACACTGCCAGTATAGTCGGCGAGGGCGGCCGCAGGCCTGTAGGCGGTCTCGTTCAGGAGGGCGGCGGTAGGCCCGCTCCTAGGGCCACAGCTCGGCAGATTCTATGTCAATCTGGGCCGTTGGCCAAGGGGTACTGGCCCCACGGCGTGGATGGATTGCCGAAACAATCCAGGCCCTTGGCCCACTACCGGTGGGACGTGACGGCCTTGATTCGAGATCATCAGGAACATCAGACTTGGGAAGAAAAAAAACAAGGATACTACCGACGGGCCGTAGCTCAGTTGGTACACCTATGAACTGTTGAAACATAGGCCCACGTTCGAATCCTGAAGCACTCAGATCAGATGAACAGAATAAAATAGTCGTGAATCACTTACCTGGGGCTAGGGCCCACTACCCAAGTTCGCAGCCAGTAGGCTGCCTTTTGCGGTGCCAACTTTTGTCGTGTAGCGGCCGTTTGCCTTTTCGGGCATGTCGATGACAAGTTAGAGGGGTTTAGAGGGCGTCGTGCAGTGCAGGGGAAGGGTGCGGTCGTGGGCAGGAGACGGACCAGTCGTTGCGAGGCGAAGAAGTTAGAGGACCGTCGGTACGTGAGCGCGGTCGGTTTCGTTCGCGGTGGGCGCAGTCCACTTTCCTTTTCGGGAGAAAGTTCTTTCCGATGTATGGGTCGTATGGGGGTGAGGCAACCGCGAGCAGCGGCCAAAACAGGGGAGGTTGGCAGACTCGGCGGCTTTCTTTTCTTTTTGTCGTTTCTTCACAGGAGGTTGGCCCATACCGGTTGGCAGCGCATCTTTCCGCGCTTCTGCGGAAGATTCATTCCCCGATCGTTGTGGCCCCTGTCCAGTACTGACCAGGCATATGGAGGACTCTACACGCTGTGTCCTCCAGGATTCCACACCGGCCCAGGCGCCGCATATGCAGCCACCATTGAGGCGAGCGCTCGTCAACTTCCGCCTACGACAACGCAGTTTTCTCTCTCTCTCTCTCTCTCTCTCTCTCTCTCTCTCTCACACACACACACACACACACATACACTTTCTCTGTGTTCGGAGCGTGAGCATAGCCCTGAGAGGCAGTGGAGGATGCGGCGTGGGAGGAGGTGACGTGTTTCCTCCGCGTGATATGACCTGATTAGCGCGCAGAGGGACAAAAGGAGCATCACCTGAAGAAGCGGAAACAGCGTGAGGCAGGAGAGAGAGAAAGAGAGAGAGAGAGAGAAAGAGAGAGAGAGAGAGAGGGAGAGAGAGAGAGAGAGAGAGAGGTCCAAAGAGGTGAAGGGTTGTTAGCAAGCAGAAAAAAGGGAGATCGATAAGGAGGAGGAAGAGGAGGTGGAGAGATGGATACCTGTGAGGTTCTGCGGGAAAAATGAGAATGGGACCTCGCATTTTGTTCGTGGGGGTGCAATGACCCGAACAGAATCAGTCTGACATAGGGCCTCGCTCCTTACCTGTTGGCCGGTCTGTTGCTCATCCTATCGATGGAAATCTCTCTCTCTCTCTCTCTCTCTCTCTCTCTCTCTCTCTCTCTCTCTCTCTCTCTCTCTCTCTC